GTACGACTCAAATGCCAGATTTCATTATTCATATTTGACAAAGACACACCTGTTTTCACAGAGCTTTGCTGGGTTAGCAGTAATGGGAGACTTTTAAGCTGCATTTTGGTGGCAAATGTACAAGTCTCACCTGACCAAATGTCTCAGAAGTCCCCCGTTAGTTCTGACTCCTGAATAATGCTGCATCCATTACAGGAATTACTTGAGTTCCATGTTAATGGTGGTTGATAAATGCTTACTTATGTTTTCAGGCTGGCTTCTTCGTACATGACAAGATTCATGACAAACAGCTAGAAGGAAAGATCACTCTCAGGTATGAATTGAGTAGCTTCAGTGATCTAGGTCTTCATACATCAAACTGCTGGTCACTTAATAGTAGTTTATGAAACTCTAAACTGTCATCTAAGTATAAATTAACTTCCATTTTTGTAGTTCACGCCGGGACGCGTTAAGACACGCCGTAAAAATTGAGATCCTCAGCCCGCTTTTCAGCTATTATTCTCAGCCCACGCTCGAGAGAACACGGTGAAAGAAAGCATACCCTGGCTCTTGTATATATGGTAATTTGGTCTTTGTGTGTAGCCCAGAAATGAAAAGACCGAATTTGCATCATAATCACCAGCTCCACAATAGTCCCCACTTTGAAAAGAAGCAACAGGAATATGGAAGCTTGAGTAGAGCCACATGCCACCGAACAATCAAATGTCTATTTCATTTCAAAGACCTTTCCCAAGTTACCTCCTTCCCCCGAAAAAAGATTAAACCTAAACTTTTTCAAATTTCCACTTATTTGTTTTTTCGTTTGTTTCTTTTGGTGGGCTAGCTTGGGTAACGTTTTGTGGTTAGACCCAGTGGTACAACGGGTCCATCTGCCCAGCATCAAAACCACGGTCAACGCGCACAATGTCCGACAGGAGTTACTGCAGGAGGGGTTTGCTGTGGACAACCCAGAGGTGAGACCATCTTACCGGAGGGCCAATTTGGTTCCTAACTAGTCCTTGAAACTGAAAACCAGTCCTACAGTACTCACATAGTTCAAACACTGAAGCCCGTGGCACCCCCAGAATGGGCAGGATGTGGCAGGATATCTAATCAGTTGGTTCCAGTAATCAGTGAGTTCATTGTTGTCAATGAGTAAGGTCCCCAATTCATCAAGGGTCCCCTTTTGATATTTGTGTTCAAAAGTACGGGAGGTCTTCCAAAAAAGTTAAAGCACGAACTAAAGAGGAACAATAGGGCGCCCCTTACTGCAGGCAAATACAAATGGGGTGTGCATGAGGCAGTCGCAAACTGAATTTGAGTAACTCACACGTGAGCTGTCACTGAAGCAAATCAATATATATATACAGTGCATCATGTAGAAAAGTCGGCGTTTTGGAACATTTTGCAAATTGTCATCCCTTTACAATAGGTAACAATGACCAAGCAGTCACTACGTTTTCAACTCATTATTTGAATTTTGTTTATGTGCATTTTTGATGGGTGCGGTTCACTAAGCCTCTGGGTTTTTTTTAATGGCTCTGCATACCTGTAAATGCTGTGAAGGACGAGCATTTACATGTGACTGCCTGACGATATGCACAGGAAATTGGCCATTGAGTTGGAAAGTGGCCCCATCAAGGCAGTTTCTTGGTGATGCATTGTACTATGATTCGTTCAGATGAAGTCGTTCAGCCAGAGATTCTAGGCACTCAAATGTTCATTACGATGCAGTTTTGGCGAGTGAGCGTTGGTTAGCAAGAAGAGGAACCTATCGCAATGTATTCCCGGTTTTAACTTTGAAGAATGAGCACTTTGGAAAAAATCAAGAAAAATTAATGGCGACTTTGTTCGCAACTCACTAACAACACTGAGAGTACCAAGACAAAGACTTCTTGGCTCTTAACTAACGAAACTTCATTTATGAGTCCTTGCATAAACCTGGCAGCTTTAACCCCCTTGGTTGTGCGAAAGCTACTTGAAAATCCGAGCATTGAGGAATATTAGGGTTAAAATGAAAAATAGCAAATAAGTAGAAATGTTGAAGTATTGGTCATTTTCTTTGCATTTAAGTCAATGATTTTTAAATATTTTTATTTGGTTAGCACATTACCAAGCTGAGGAAGAAGTGTGAGGGAAAAGTGGTTCTGCCGGACATGGTGATGCCCTCAGCCCTGGAGCAAAGGTACGACATGTTGAGATGTTTAAAGTCACTTCTCAGCTTACTTATCCCTCGATGAGGATTCAACTTCACCTTACTTTTGCTTGTCTTCCTGATGTCATGTCAGGCCCCTTTCCGATTTCACTAGAACAGTAACACTAGTGTCAGCCGTATTTCTGTTATCAACACAATCTGTCTGTGCCAAATGTCTAATAAACTTGTCCACCTTCCCCTGCCAGTTTTCTTCCTCGGTCAAGTTTCACTGTGCATCGTCCTCGTATGTTTGAAGTACAAAATGGGGCTTTAATGCAGGCAAAATAATCCCCCCCAAAACCCTATCCTTTACCTGTAGTGTTGTTATCACTTGTACAGCGTGCGGTGCCTCTGAACACCTTCTAACCGAGCAGTGGTTATGTGACTTGAAGGAACGGAGTGTGAGGGCACACAATCTAGGTCTGGATCTTGTGCTTTATTGTAAGAGCTGGTCGGTATGCGCGTAAATGTATAAAGAAAAATCACAGTAAACACTCTGGAGTTTCTGATGTGATGAGGAGTGGGAGCTGTTGTCTTCTTAAATTGCCCTTTCATTGGTTGAGACCTCCCCTGTTGAAGCAGAAGAGTGGTTTTGAAGCTACCACTTCTTCGAGGAATGCCTCATCGGTGCTGACTGATCGTGCGGATATCACAAGGCTGGCCGGAATAGCGGAAGTGAAACTTCAGTAGACAAGCTCCTGTTGACTCTGCCGAGACTAGTTTGCTTGAGGAATCTTTGTTGTTGGTCTCCCTTAGTCCCTTTTTTAACCACCGTTCGGTTACACTAAGTTAATTTAATTAACGTGATTTTAACTTTGTGTCTCCCATAGGTCTGCTGCAGTACACGTACATGTTTTTAAATCAGTAGCAGGAAATGCAGCAGATGGAGCCTTTATGATGATTTCAAAGTTCATTCCCAACCAGTTCACGTTGGGATTATTTTATGATGAAATGACACCAGCC